AACATGTGATCTCTAGTCCAACTGCCCTTTTAAGTTCCCACTATACTTGAGAAGCTGCCACAAATTCATATTCTCTCTTTCAGAGGTCAATCACTTTTTGCACTTGCAAGTGAACGCACCACACTGCAGTGCTAGACAGCAGCACTACACTCCTGGCACAGGGGGAGAGTTTTTCCTGTGCTTTGCATACTCTAAAGTCCCACCACTGCCAGAAAACGTGCCAGTAAGAGAAGGGGAAAAAGTAACATAAACACTCTTATCACACAGTATTTGACACTGACTGTACTTAGTCTCACGTAGTGGAGCTCACGCTGAGGGATAGAGAAAAGGTTTAAGCAGATTGTGTTCTTTACTGAATTATGAAATTTTTTTTGTAAGAAACACCAACAGTTTCTACTTCATTAAGTCCCCAGTTCTAAAAGATCTGTAACGTACTTTCATTTGCATTCAACTGATGAAGCAACTCAATCTCCCACTTCATTGTACATAGCAATCCATTCAGGTTAGGCCAGCATCTCTAGGTTTTTTTTTTGAGACAAGACTTGAGTTACTATTTGTTTGCCTACAGAAATATCCTGAGGTCAATTTAAATATTATTTTAAAGGGTCTTACCATATTTAACAAAAACCATATTTTTTTCTAGCTCTTCAGAATATGATCGAAACTGTATCACCGTGGTTCAGTTCTTTTGCAGATCTGCACCTCCTTTCAAACCGAGATGCCACTGCATATTCAGCAGATGAACTGTCTGATGTTTAGATAGTTATCCTATGGGCAAATATTCAGAATGGTCTTCAAAAAAGACCAAGTTCATTTTACCATTATAAAGAGTGCTTACCTTCCTGCTACAAATACACACCATCATCTGGCATGATGAACAAGGAGAACACCATTAAAGGATCCTACTATGAGTTTTAAGAGAAAATCAGTCTCTTAACACCTTGGGTTTGGGACATTTTGGAGCTGTTTGAAAGCCTATTAAGTTGGTATGGTTCAGTCTAGGTAAGATTTGATTTCTGATGCATCACAGAAGGGAAAAAGGAGGGGGGGAACTAGATCTAGCTAATTATTTTTTATCCCATGGTCTTCTAAAAATAAAATCCCTGGGGTTATCAGGCAAATACTAGTTCCAGGAAAATACTCCAGGGCATACAAAGGATTCTTTTTAATTGTTTTATCTTCAAGGAAATCACATACTTATGACTCACACCTCTGAGACAGTAAAACTGTATTTGGGACATAAAAGTGGATATGAAGACAATATAATTTCCCAGCCCTGAAGAAGCCATGACTTTTCATTTTTCATAGAATCATGGAATGGCTTGGGTTGGAAGGAACCTTAAAGATCATCTGGTTCCAACTCCCTGCCATGCGCAAGGACACCTTTCACTAGATCAGGCTGCCCAACCTGGCCTTAAACAGCTCCTGGGATGGGACACAAACAAATTCTCTAGGCACTTTGAAAGCTTTAGAATTGTTCTACTGGCCATCTGCAATTTCACAGGACATTTTTTGACAACAAAGGTAAGACTGAGCGCAGGTTCTGCACTATTTCTGTTGCTGTTAGAAATACAGATCCAGTATGCCAACAATGAGGGCACTTGGGAATCTCACAGTTACAATCTTGATATTGCCAAAGAAACACACAAAACACCTGTCCAGGTTAGGCCAGGATGCAGCCCTTTCATGAATTTGTTTATGAGATGAGATTGGTCAATCTCTGCCTTAACTTGCAAATAACTTCTTGCAGCACCAAAACCAGCATCAACCCTCTGTGGGTTCCAGTAAGCCCTAGACCACGGAGAATTACACTGCAGGACACAGTTGAAACATTTTGTTTTAGTTTATGCAGACTTCAGCTGTCCTTGCATTTCTGACTGCACAGCAGTGGGTTTCTGAAGTTATTTTGACTGGGGTTGTGGCTCATGGATGGATATTGGTGATTTGGGATGGAAGCTGCTACACACCTGCAGGAGAATGCTGCCAGCCATCCTACTCTTGGAGCAAGGACAGTCCCTCGCAGTTTTAATTTAAGAAATTCGTTGGAACTTAGGAAACAGATCCCAGAAACCTGAAAGTCAACTTTATGGGCTGAAGACATGGCTTACAACTTGAATCAAGTGTGATTATGGAAAGATCATTTTCTGTGTGAAGAAAAGGAATTGTTCCATATAAACTGAAGGTACATGCTGTTAAATAACTTCTTAATGGGGGATTAAATATCTACAATTCACAAAAGGGTGAGAAGGAAAAAAAAAAAAAACAAAACAAAAAAACCCAAACAAACAAACAAAAAAAAAACCCCAAAACACTACCCTAGACCAAACTGCTCTATTTAAACAGAAAACAGAAATAAAAACTTCATCTCAAGAGAGAAGTAACCTGACTTCTCAGTTATTATTACCTGACTGCTCAGCTTAGTTTGTGGTTTCCCAGTTTATGTTAACTGTTTTCACTGCAGCAAATACAGGGAATTTTGCAAAACTATAACTGTAAACCGAATTCTATTGTAGCCCTTCATCTGCTCTACACAGCACTCAAATACATCTTGCAGCTGAATAGTGCTTCTATGAATTCTGTAAACAGAAGAATACTTTAAAGACATGATTAAAACCTTGCAAAAGCCACACAAAATATTTGGGCTAGGCCAAAGGATGTAGCCCCTTTGTTAATTTGGCCAATACAAGATGTTGTAGGTCAAGTTCTGCCCTAAGTTGTAATTAGCTTCAGAGATTTGGAAAGATGAAGTGCAAACAGAACAGATTCTCACCTCCTGCCTGCCTGACACACACAGCCAGATGAATTCTGGCAGTGCTCACTGTTCACAAAGTTGCAGAGGACACTCACTGCCAGAAACCTCCCTAACAGCCATTTCCCTCACCAGCGAAATCAGTGTTTACAGGGAAGCAGGGTTTGCACTGGGCAGCTACACATCTGTAGCTGGAAAAAGCATCCACAACAAACTGTGCAGTTTTTTAATCAACAGCTTAATCACAGCAGTTCCACACTCATGCTCATAAGTGCAGGAATTAATGAACAGTGTTCTACTTTGCTTGCAGTAATTAGGTTTTAATCTACTACTGATTTTTTTCTTTACTGTAAGCAATGTCACCACAATGTGAAATTGCTATTCATCACAGACATGTTCCTACATGAACACAAGCATCAGTCCTGGGTTATGCAAAACAGTTCTGTAAACAGACAGTGCAGGAGGAGGCAAATAAGGCTTGTTTGGCAGGAGTAAGCCTTGAAAAAAGGGTACATGCAGTGGTGATGAACCCAGCCTATTTCAAGTGTGGGAGAACTTCACCTGAATTTTCTCCTCAATCGTATTTTAACTGAAGTCTGTACTACACAGCACTTAACCAATACATGTCTGGCAGCTGAACAATGCTTCTGTAAATGCTAGATACAGAAGAAATAACTTAAGACAGCAGCATTTGAAAAGTCTCAAAGTCTGGGTGGGATGACCATTTATACAATTTTCAAATGCTGGCTGGAGAGCCAAGAGGACAACAAGGGAATATGATAAGAAGCATTGGCTAATAACTTCTACATGAATTTGCTATGCAGTCAGACCTAACCATAAGAAAAAAACTGAGATACCTGAGAAATCCTCCTAGCCCGTCTCCTGCCTGGTTACCTCTCTCACAATCTCAAGAAACAAAATGAGTAGCTGTTTATGAGCAGTTCTGTTCCTCAGTTCATGAAAACAGTGAATCAAGACGACTGTCATTGCTCACCCCAGTTACTCTTTCAGCACTCTTTGTCTTCACAGATTATCTTCATCGGCTTCCTAATGTGTCCGGCAGTTTATCTGTATGTAATACAAGGTGTGAAGAGATTTTAAACACCAGACATATTTACAGTAAAACCGCCCTCCCATGAACAAAACCATAAACACTAGATTTGTAATCAGTGGTGAAGAAATAGTTTAATGGAGAACGTGGTCAGAGCCTATTTAACAAAGAAACAGGTCCTGTTCACCTGGAGGGAGACAGGCAAACATCCACTGACAACTGAACAGGTGAAAAAATAAACTGGGAGAAAGCATCAAATACAGAAAAGACCCTTCTGTTCTGCTCCAGACCCAACAGCTGTGGACTTCCCTTTTACATTTCAACCAAGTGGTTTCTGAGTTAGGCACAAACTGACTCATGGACTCTGGCTGTGAAATGACACAAGTTGGGAAATCAAGTTGGGAACTTGATTATTGGCTCAAGCTTTTCCACCGATAGAAAAGCACAAGAGAGTCTTGCTTTGAGGGGTACACATTAGTAATCCATAAATTCCTCAAGACTCCTCTTGAGGAATCTTTTCCAAGGCAAATCTACTGCTCCATTCTGGAATAAAGTACAGCTGACAATGATTTTCCAGAAGGGGAATTGCTACAAGTCTTTTAGACAAATTAGACTTAAATTTAATATAAGCACTATCAAGAAACCATAATTTATCTGGTTCACCACTTCTAGTTTAAAGGAGTTCTGGCTCCAAGTTCTGCTCATGAAGATGCTTATTTTGAGCGAACAGAAACATGTAGAATATGAGACTATTTCAACAATCCCAGGGAGGCTTCAGCAGTTGTGTTCTACCGAACAGCAGTATGAACCTACCAGCAGGAATCCAGGGCTTTTCCCTCAGTCCTGTTCTCACACCTTCTCTCCCAGAACACCTGCTGAATTCTTCTGTTCCCAAACCCAGGACTTGTGTCATCTTCCCCTAGCAGTGGAACTGTAGAGTGCTCAGGAACTGACCAAACCTACTGCAGATGAAGACAGAGAAAGGAGTCTTCATGGCTGTTCTGAGGATGCTCTGGAGGAATGAGAGTTAAACAAAGATTTCTACCCTGATGAATTTCCTGCAAGAGGGTAAAAATTTATTTATTTTACTTTAAGTAAATGCCTACAACCCTCAGGGTAAATGCTCAGGCAATTCTTCAGGCTGTCAGAACACAAAAACCGCGTGCTACTAAAAATAAATCCAAGATTAGCCCGTGGCTTGAAGTGACAACTTTTTATTTTAGGCAAAAAAAAAAAAAAGAAAAAAAAAAAAGCCAAAAACATTCCGCTATCGCAGTTTGTAAAAGTTTCACTGTTTTCAGTAGAAACAGTTCACAAGTCAGATCGCGATATTCAAATAACATTGTGCAAAATTGTACTGGCATAACTACACATAGCAAAAAGACTAGTGTAAATCAAGAATTCCATTGAAATCAGTTGAGCTGCTCCAGTTTTACAACAGTGTACATCACCTCAGAATAGGCCCTTTTTTGCAGAACATCCCTGGAATTCCTCTTGCTTACAAAAATTGCTTTACATGCAACAAGTAACAACATATGCAAGAACACCTCCACAAGTTATCACAGTGTAACAGAGGAAAACATATCAGTCAATTTCATACAAAGGCAAGTCTAATGGCAGTTTGGAACATCCCTTGACTGCTACCCTCAAAAATTGCACATTTCAATAAATGAAATAATTTAGAATGATGCCAAGCCATGTTCTTACCTATCAGTACACTGACAATTAGGATGGACGATGTGTTCAAAAGGGGTTTGCCTTCTTTTTTTTTTAAGCTTACTAGATTTTCCAAAGAGAGTTGTTTGAAAAGAAGCTTGTGCAAGAAATGTTAACTCGCAGTGCTACTGGGCCAAGTCCTCTTCTGCTATTCAGACAGACCTGTCAACACTACACAAGTCCCGGTAGTCAAATACAAATCCCAGTGAAGAACTATGAAACAAAGACCATACCTTCAGTATTTAGTGATGACATGCAATGAAATAAAGCAAGCAGTAACAAGTCTCCATTTACATTTGGAGCATTCAGAAAGAGACTGTTGCAGTTCAGTTGGGATGCAGGACCGGAATTTCACAAAGCACTTGTGAATAGTTCACATTCTCTCCCCACTTGACTTGACGCTCAAAGTAACATTTTCAAAACAATGCACCTTGATCATTCTCTGCATAAACAGAACTCTAAGAGCAGAACTGATTTTCAGAGTTGCTGAACGCTCACAATGCCACATCAAGAAAATACACAGGTACATCTTGCAATGAGTGGTCATTTTGTTTTCCTGTATATCCATATCTAAAAAAATAATTTCATAAGAACTCTTTGATTACAACAAAACCAGTTGTGCCCCAGTGCTTTTCACCTCCCTACGTTAGGAAGGACACACCTTCTATTGCCTTTTTTAAGAGCCAACATTTTTGTTTTAATACGTATCAACCTGGTTTGGGTCTAAACCACAATGACATCTTTCAGCTATGACATTTGATGAAGGGCATACACTTCAACTATGGAATTATATGAAGAAAGCACGGTCCTGATATTCTCAAGTGTTTGAGTGCTTCCTTGCAGGCTATATTCACCTCATGAGAGCAAGGAAGAACAAAGCACAACCTTTGCTTTGGAACGTAAGGGCGCATCAGTTCCAGAAGAGAACAGGTCAGCAAATCTGTACACAGGAAAAAAAAAAATAAAAGGTTCTCACAGATACCAGCCCTGCCTCAAACCATACAGACAAAAGCAGCAGACCTATGCAGACAGTATGTGTGCGTGCATACAGTGAGTCAAATGGAAATTCAGGCACCCCAGAAGCCACTCTGCAGAAATGATCTCTGAAAGTTTCTGGTGACTTCCTATGCATCCTCCTTCAAACCCCCAGCTTCATGGAGAAGCTGTCAGCTACTCGGCAAGAAAACATTCAGCAAGGAAATATGGACATCCCTGGCACCGAGTTACTGGGAAGACATCAGTCAGCATTTCAGAGATGGCAGGGAGAGAACAGATTAAACTCCAGTCAGGAATTATTGCTGTACCACTGAATTCTATTAAACTCAATAAGCAACAACAAGTTAGGCCTGAGGCAGAAGAAAGGTTAATGGATATGACTTTGTTTTCTGCTTCCCAAAAGGCTCAGCTTCAGTGTTTTCCAAAAGTCTCAGACTCTGAATTCCAGGAAATTGTATTTCAGAACAAATCAAAAAATAGCCCTGAGACTAAACATACTTTTAAAGAGCTGCTATTGCTTCATGTAAGTCAAACACAGCAATCATTTACTTCCACAGTATGCAATATTTAATTTTCACTCCCTTTTTTTCCTCACTCGGGATATGTACCTGAAACCAAGAATTTCTTTCCAAAATGTATGAACTCAAGCATTATCTGTTACTTTTCCAGGAATTTAAATGCTACAGGATTATGGCACCAAGCAAGTAAAGAATAGCTGATGCAAGTTAAATTTAAACAAAGAAGTCTGTGTTTTTGAAAAAAAGATTCCAATAATCATAGCTGTCACCATGGACTTCATTACAATGAACTCCTTCCTTGTAACTTAAGTAGAATTTACAACTGGAGTAGCATGATTCAGTGTATCTAAAATCAACTGTCACTGAACAGTGCTACCAGCCTTTAAATGTGGCTAGAAGTGTAAAACACCAAGAACACAAGAATATCAAGTGTGTCAAGTTGTGCATAAAAATAGACCTTGATTTTTTCTTAAGCTAAAAACTAGGCAGTCAAGGAACTGACTAGGTCTATGCATAGTTAGGATTTTAAGTATGCCAAAAGAATTTGGACTCTTTCAGTAAAACTCTGCTTGAGCAATGCAAGGTCAACTCCTCCAAAAATTGGATATTCCACTCTATACATAAAAGAATTTTTAAAAAGCTCCATGCACTCTCAAAGCTATTTGAAATAGATTTAAATACTTTATCATACAGCTATGCTATGGCACAAGACAGCACATAAAAAGTTTAAGGCTAATTTTTTGTCTGCACACTTGTCAAAGATGGTCTCAGAACAAAGCTGTCGTATTTTCTTAATTCTGAGTCTTTAGTGTGGATTCATAATAAAGTCCAGCTGCCAAGCAATAGTAGAGCTGTCCTGCATATAAAAAAAGACTGAATGTTATCCTGAATGCAGTTGGTTTTTTTGTGTGTTTTTTTTTTTTTTCTTTACAAAAAGCAAAAACTTGACACATTTGCATTTGGTTCTTATCAGAGCAGCTCACTAATTCATACAGTACATTGTCCAATAACATACAAGGTAAACTACCGAAGAGATACTTGAAGTACTACAACAACAGGTGCCAAAGAAAGTCCTACGGTACAAAAGCGCACTGCTATTGGGAGAGTCACTCTGTGATGAAAACGAACATCAGAATGCAGTTTTGGTGAAGTCAGTTAAGTGTCAAGGCTGTAATAAAGGCTATTTGTTAACTTTAGCCCTTTGGTTCTTAACCATTCAGTTAAGATCTCCTAATAAAGCACTAGGCAGTTTGGCAATGATGGAAAAGTTCTTTACACGCTACTGTTACAGAAATAGAAAACAGGCTTACAAGCACTTCCTTCACCTGAATATGATCTCAATTCAGTCACAACAGGTTTTTTTTTTTAAAAAAAAAACTACCTAAAGCAGTAAATTTTAGATTTCAAATTGCACTGTAGTGTTTCAGAAGAAACTAATTAATATCCACAAAGCCTAGAAAAGAATTATCAACTGGCAAAGTTACATAAATCTGATGCACAAATCATCAAATTTAATAAACAGTTTATTTTAAAACACTGTTCCTGAACAACTTCAGATAACTGACAATGTCAGTGCAAATCAGAACTGTTACTTCAAAACAATCCTATTTGTTTTCAAGGGGAAGATAGAAAGTAAGCCAAATTCTGTTTGTTTGCTAATTTAACAGGTGTAACATTTTAATGCTTCCTGGTAATTTTTCATTTACTGATTTTTTGCATAATGTTGTAAGAATAGGTTTATTATACCACAAACACAGGACTTTCACGTTCTAGTATGACTTATACTTGCTGGGTAAAGTACACTGCTGTCATAGTTACTTATAGAGGATTGAGAGGAACAGCAAACGTTTATAGAAACGATGATTATTCTCTGCACACATATGCAGGTTTTTTTGCTCCCAAGCAAATTCATCATATTAATCACTGAACAAAACTTTTACATTTGCAGTATCATCTTTAAATAGTTGCCATTATGAGGAGACCTGAGTATGAAACAGATTGGTGAAAGCTGTGCATGTGGAAGCCAGTGAGAACTGCTCGTAACAGACCGATATTCAGACCAAGACATTGCCCAGGATGACACTTGGAAATTACCAAATCTAACTCCGTAAAAGAGGTGCAAGGTCAGTGTTGTAAGCTGATATGACACTGGTGTTCAGGTCGTTGCAGGTTTTTGCATATCAATATTGTATTTACGCAAACCCAAGTAACGAACTCCAGGAACACATAAGGAACCTCACTGCTGAAGTTCCTGAGCAGTTTCTGTTTGCAACTGCCTTTACCCCCATTTTCACCTTTTATTGTCATTTCAAAGGAACTGTTAACTGCTGCATTTTCTGGACAGACCAAATATTAAAAAAAAAAAAAAAAAATCCTCCGTTTTACATGCCAACCTAAGTTGCTAGTCAAAAAGGGAGAACGTTTCTGCTGCTGTAAACTTCTGCATAACAGATATCATGCCTGACAAACCATCACCTTCAACGGACACACAAACACCACTATGACAACAGAGAGGAAACCATGCACAGGTATTTCAGTATTACGTGGCCAGGGTCTATAATACAGTGATGAGTCATGTCAGAGCAAATTTGTACCAAGAGTGATTAATGATTCAGGCTGACTAACTTTGCAAGTAGTCAAGCAAGCCTGTAAGAGCCAAGTACTTTCTGGAAGAAAGAATACCAAGTAAGAGGACAATATGTTTTTTTCCCTACCTCTGCACAAAAATTCTATGAACATATAGAACAATACTGGGGCAAGTGCTTTAAAATGCAATTTTCCAGCCAATAAGCCAACAGTAGTAGGAATTCTGTGAAGGAAGGAGTTTTAAGAATGTGACTTACCAGAAGCACAAATTTTCAATATCAAAAAAATGTACACTATATACTAACACCTTTTTTTTTGCATACTCTTCTGTTTTAAAAGTTTCAAACATATTAACTTGTCTTGTTTTGTTTAGGGCTGAGGCTGTTCAGCAAGGTCACATAATTTGAGACTGCTGAAGTAATTCAGCAATCCTTTGGTCCCATCAGCTGTAAACCAGCCAAGTATAAAAGAACCTTCCCTACAAAAGAAAAACAAAAAAAGAGAGGGAGGGGATCATCACCAGGAAACACCATCTGCTACGAACCAGAAAAGGCAAATTTTTGTTACAAAATACACATTTTCGTACAAAAGACATCTTGCAAAACCATCTGATTGCCCCTCCCTCTGCAGATTACAATGGTAAATGGGATCAGCTGGTTGGTCTTGGGATTGTTGTTTTAATGAGAAAAAAGTCAAAGGACGCACAGTATCACAACAACCGGTCCTTTGAGTGGCAAAGGATTAGGAGTGTCTTTGTTTTCACCAGTGTTTAAAAAAGCAGGAGAGAAACAGAACCATAGTCTTCATAAGCAGAAAGTGCAACAGCGCATCAGCTGCTGCATCCTCCTGAACTCCTCAATGTGCTACCAAACTGTCAATTATACAAACAGTTTGATTATGGCAGTGCCATAAACTGTTAAAACAACGCAAATAGTGTGATTAGAAAGGTCCAGTCAAGCGGTTCCTTTTTTTTTTTTTTTTTTCCCCCAGTAGTTGCCCAGAAAAGTGTCAAGACAATCTAAAGCTATTCTTCAGCTTCCTCAATACATCCTGCTGGCTGGAGCAGAGAGGACTGTGGTATTACTGTACTTGTTCCACGAGAGATCCTATCTTGATCTGTGTTTGTAGTCAAGGCGGCCATGGAAATGGGTTGTAACAAACCGGGCGTCATGCTGGAGGAGACAGTCAGGCTGTGTGTAGTGCCCTTAAGTGTGAGATCCTGTGTGGGAAGAAGTGGCTTGAGGATGCTGACAAGACAGAAAGCAGAGCCACTTTTCGGAATGAAATTCACTTTGTTCTTGTCAGGGCAATAGAAAGCTGGAATTTCATGCAATGGCTTTGGCCTAGAAATAAAACACACACAATAGTTTCATGAACAATCAAATTCTGCCAATGGCAGGGACGTATTGCTGAACACATCATCAGAAACAAATTGAGGTTTCAACTTGGAGTATTTCAGCTATTTAATAATGCCTTAATGCCACTCACACCACACAGCAAATGACAAGATAGTTTAAACTGCTCGTTTACATGAACTATGAGGTAAACAGCATGTTCTTAGGGCAGGCTGTCTCCAAACCTAAGGAAGATACCAAGTTCATGCTGCAGATCACAAACCCTGTCCATGTATTGGCACATCCAATATATCAAAGTATTTATCC